ATTTATTAAAAAAATGTATAAAAAAATCAAAAATAATCATAAAAACTCGCAGAGGACATTTATAAAAACTCTCGTGAGTGAAAAAACAGTATTCTAAGTATTAAGTTGTAACTACTCATTATTTAATCGTTAAGAAAATTAGAAGTAAGCGAAAAAGATGAAAACACAAATCTTGTTAATTTTATACATTATTCAAGTGAAGGATTGAAAGAATTTGTAATGTCGTGACTGTCGAATACATATCACACATTAACGGGTATCATCACCTTCCTGTATTAATTAAATTCTACTTTTAATTACCCGTTCGGACAACAGAGAACGAACAGCATTAACTCAAATGATATGCATTTTGTATTGTTTCTCTTTGTTTGCAATTGAACAAAAAAAAACAAAGATAAAAAAAGGAATTACTTTACAGACATTGAAAACGGTAGCTTTTCAACAAAAAAATAAAAAATAAAAAAGAACCAAAAAAATAATTCTTAATATCCTCACAATTTATGTTTAGTGATTTAATATTACAATTAGTCTTTCGTGCCAAACGTTATATTATTAAAATATTTTGTTAAAAAGATGCCAAAAAAATATTTATTATATGTTATACATAATAATTCTTATTATCATCAAGTATTTATTGTAAATACTTAACACCGATCTGTGTCCAAATGTGATCGATATTTGTATATTGTATATTTTTAATTCGTGCAAAATACTTAATAAGAATCGTGTAAGAATTTCGATTAAGAATTTGTGATATTACTTTATGAACTTAGTTGAACTTACATGAATAATACGTGAAGCTTTAATTGTGAGGCCCAAGCATGTTTACAATAAGAACGAATCGTTATTTCTTTCTTTTTACCATTATAAAAAAGAATATTCAAGTCAAAATGTATTCTAAACATAATATTTCGTGTTTGTATTCAACTCTTGTAAACGTTTGTAGGTATATGCCTGTTGTGTAATAATATTTAAAATTCTCTAAAGCCTTAAATAACATCGAAATTAAATTGATGCATGTAAATATATAATAGTTAAAGTTTATTATTATGTAAATCATGATCTCAGTGTGTTATATATATATTTTTCATTAATTTAAGTATATTATTTCTTAAAAAGCGGAGGCTTTCACGTCCGGCGTTATCTGAAGAGTGTTCGATATTTGGGCTCGATTTAGCTGACTCAGGATAGATTCTCCTCCTTTAACGAGTTCATGGATGGAATAGTTTATCTTACGTTTCGTCAATTGCTTTAGTTAGCATCCTCAGGAAACATAGTCAGGGCGTAAAATATATCGCTGCGGTTGTGTTAAGGCTGTCCTAGTCGCATTCCGTGAGGATTTCAAGTACAGCAGCTGACGAAACGTCGAACAGACGACTCCATTCGCGGTCTTACGAGGAGAATGAATCCCTGGACTGTGGCCATCAAGCCCAAAAATAGAACTATCAGTATATTAGTTTTCATTACATTAAGGTCTAACTATTTATTAGACAATATTAATATCGGAACAATAAATGTTACAATAATTACATATTTATTGTAAAGGAACTATTTGTCGGCTGAAATACATCTTATTTTCCTATTTCGAAAACATAAACAGCTTATTGTATTATAATTACATATTGCAGTAGTTGTTATTTTTTGATTATTCGAACAAAAAAAACATTAATTTGTTAGCACAAGAAGACGAAACTTGAATCTTTTTTTCAATCAATATTATTATATAGCTGTAATAATAATGAAGCAAAAATAGCCGTTTTTGCTTAATTAAAATAAGTAAATAATTATTTTGTACAAACATGCTTCTTATTTATTTGTATATACATGTGATGAATTAAAAACAAAAAAGTTTGTACCTACGTTGTAAACGAAACATATACCATATACAAATAAAGTTAATTGTTTTATTTGATTATATGAGTAGTTAAGTATTACAAATTTATCCCCCAATCCCTAGCTTAAACGTAATTGAACTTATTTTACTGTGCAAAAAATTGTTAAACGCTCGTAAGTTAAGAAATTACTTTATTAACAGTGAAGAAAGGTTGAAATCTATTAATAATTCAAAAAGATGGTCAAGAAGCGGGACTTTCCCTTGTATATTTCGAAAATTTGAATGCGAACTGATCATTTAGGTTTCACCAAATTGAATCAAACTTATTTGATTGAAAAATCTTTGACAGTGACAGCTATAAAAATGTCATAATAATAATATCAATAACAGGATAACAAAAACAATCTGTTAATGTCGAGATTTTTTTTGAATTTATTCATATTCCCTAATACGCCTAATACTGCGCCCAGTTAGACAGGAACAGAGATGTTTTACCATCAATTATAATATTTTTAAGGTTAAATTGTACATGAATTGAAGAGAATGTCTAAGACTCGAATGATGCCAATCTTTGGGACTATTCCGTCCTGCTATACGTTTAAACGCCTAGAAGAACGAAGAAATAGGGCAAAGGCACTTAAGTTGGACAATAACAGAAAACCCGATAAACCTGAAGACTTTATATCGTACGAAGATAGTGACAGTGAAGAAGACTCTCCAACGACAACACATGAAAGTTTAAGTACGTCTTACAATTTTGTGGACTATGTTAGACACAGAGAAATGCAGAGTAGAAACGTGAGGACTCTTAGTCAAGATTATGGTTCACGACATATGTTAACTCATGAGATGTTTAAAGAAAGCCCCATTAATTTGGGGAACATGAATAAAGTGTTTTGTTCACAGTGGTTGAGTGATAGACAAGTAGCATTTGGTACTAAGTGTAATAAGGTACATGTGTATATTTTAATGAGAATTATTAAAAATATGCATTTGTTTCTAGTTAATGGTATATGATGTAACTACACATTCCTTAGATCAAATACCCTCTCTTGTTAGCAGAAGAGATTCCTTAGGAAATGATCAACAACAGTGTGGAATACATTCAATACAAATAAATCCTTCACGTTCATTGTTAGCTACAGGAGCTCGTAATACATGTGATATAGCTGTGTACACTCTACCAACACTAGATCCAGTTTGTGTAGGGGAAAATGCCCATCGAGATTGGGTACATTTATTATTAAACTACCTAGTGTAATGTATATATATGTTTTAAAATTTAGGTGTTTGATTTATGTTGGTTGGATGATGAGTTTCTTGTGTCTGGTTCAAGAGATTCAAAGGTTGCTCTGTGGAGAATTACGTCAGATATGCTAGAAAACAAACACGAGATTCCCTCCTACCATCACGTTTCTGCAGTAGCAGTAAAAGAGTGTCGAAATGCTCAAAAAGTATTTTTACTGATACATGTATTTTTCCATTTTATTATTTAAAAATTTAAGGTCAGAGCACTGGCTTTTAATAAACACTACGAGGAGATAGCGGCATTGTCTTTAAACGGTTACATTCATGTGTGGAATGCAGAGACCTTTAGACAGAAAATATCTCGAAAGCTACCCTCTTCACAAGAAAATGTTTGCTTAGCTGTACAAAATACAGGACTGTATGCCGTTGGATGCAGATCGTATACGTTGTTATTGGACTGCAGGACATTACAGGTGTTAAATTTTAAATCGCACAATTTTGATACAACTTCAAAGTAATAAATATCTCTCTTCTTTAGGCTGTTAAAAAGGTATCATCAAGATATTCTGGTTGTGGTATAAGGTCAGTAAGTTTTGAGGGGGACGTTTTAACGGTTGGCACCGGGTTGGGGATGTTAATGTTTTATGACTTGAAAGCAGGAAAGTACCTAGAGTCCAGTATTAATTCATCGAGGACCGTTGTTCTTAAAGCTAGCAAAGGATACGTTGTAAGTAAAACGACTTTCTTATAATGAGTATTTGTAAGTATACAATTAATTTTAAGTACCCTGACGAAGAGTATGTGGACAACGTTCAAAACGTTAAATATGTACCGACAATTTACACACACTGTTACGATTCAAGCGGGACGAGATTGTTTACTGCGGGGGGACCTTTACCTGCTACACTGACAGGCAATTATGCTGGTTTATGGCAATAATTGCACACTATAGGTAAAGTAAGCTAATTTCTGTACAGCGAGGTAACTGATTTAACGCATAGCAGGAGATCTAAAGGTGAATAATTCCCATTATGTCTAGGTGAAAGTCAATGCAACTAATAATTTGTGTTTTGTGCTGTAGATTTAAAGTACACTTTAGCATTTTAACGTGGTCTTGAAGTTTTAATTTGTATATACAATTTTTATTATTTTAAAAATTCAAGTTTTCTATGTTAATGAAGTATTGTAAATGATTATACATTAAGCATGTAACTTTAAATAAATACATTTTAAAATAAAACAGTTGTTTGTCGTGTGCAATAAAATTAAAATTATTTATTGAAGAAATAAATAAAAACACAAAGTAGAAGTAACAATCGTTTCTTTAATGTAGCTACATCAACAATTCTACAGTTAAAGAATGAAAAAGAAACCTGAAGAAACCACGTGTTTGACTAGGTACCTGCCCAAAGTCTGTTATTTTTTTCATCACAAAAAGTCTTGAAATGGGAATAAAATAAGGGATGGAGGACGTCCACTCAGCGTGTATCACAGGGTAAATAAAGGAAAATACTGTGAAATAAAAATGGCCAGTTTAAAAATACGGAGCCACTTTTTTTAAACATACCACTCATTTTAACACTATTACTTATTTAAAAAATGCTCATATAAAATTAAAAAAAGACTACCGTTATGTTAATTGAAATGTTGTATTTATTATAACAAAAGTTTTTTTGCTTTTCAAAGCTCTACTTCTTCTTAGTTAATTATATTTGAACTAACGTCNCTTCACCGTTGGCACAACACAACGAAAGTTTATTCCTCTTTAATTTTTTTAATATTTGACAATGTCACAGAGAGTCCGTGTCCCTGACGGCTACGTTGCGACGACACTTAATTATTAATTTTTTTCTTTTCATTTTTCTTTTTGTACACACGTTAATTCAAACTCAACGCACACGCAAAAATAACGACGACGTAGACGAACGACAACTGTTACTTTACTCAAAATTTTTCTTTTCTTTTTATCCAATAACTAAACTATTGTATTGTTACATTTCTATCATAGTAGCAATTACCGTTATTATTATTTTGTTTTTTTTCTGTGTTGTAATAATATATAGATTAATAATTTATTTTTATTCATTTCTTAATATATATAAATATTCCTCTTCGTCTCCTTCTTTTTCTTCATTTCATTGCTAATCCCGCTGTTATTTTCTTTTGTTTATGTATTTCGTGTTGTATTTATTTGTTTACGTTACTGTAGGCCATTCTAGCCTGCGTGAGGGCTGTGTGTTAATGTGTGAATGTGTTTTTGCGAATGGATGGAAACGACAGAAAAAAAACTGTACCACAACGCAACGCAATGCAATCATTATACGCGTTCGTTGTGGTAACAGTTTAACAAGTGACAATTATGGTTTGACGCAACGGAGGACGGGTCGTGAATTGGGGAGACAAAGTAGGGGGAATAATACAAGGGCAACGAAGACGACGATAACGATGATGACGACGACGGCGTAAAGGGTGGCGGCTGTTGTTTGTAGCAGTAATAGTAGTAATAGTAATAATAGTAATAACGATGGCGATAGTGTTGGAGCGGCTAGCGACGGCTGTTATATGTGTTGTTAATAGATCCTCCGCTACCACGGTTCGGTCCCCCACCGCCTCCACTCGGTCCTCTGTTAAAGCTGTTGGTGCGACCACCGCCACCAGGAGCACTGCTTCCGGGTCGTGGACCTCCAGGGCCGCCGCTACCTCCAGGACCACGTCTCGGTATACCGCCGCCACTCCCGTTGTCTCGTGGTCGTGGCTGTATGCTGCCACTATTGTCTGCACCGCTTCCTATTCTGTTGCCGCTCCCGTATGATGGTCTGTCTTTCACCTTTTTCTCTTCTACGTTCAGTGTAACGCCGGTTTTATCATTGTGCGGGTAGTGCAGGGGCTATAATTGTACAAAGAAAAAAAAAAAGGACGCACGGTCAAACGAGGGTCATGAAAGTATTTCTTGTAAATTGGGGTTTTTCTATCATGTTAGTTACCAATTAGTTAAGAGTTACTTACTTTGGCAGCCAAACAATTCTGCACGGCCTCTTGTGACTCGTACGTGATAAATCCGTAATTGGGCGGGGCACGAGCGCCGGGAATTCCCGGTTGTTTGCTTTGTTTGCTCAGAATCCGTAAGTCCACTATCGTTCCAAATTGGGCGAAAATTTCGCGTATTTCTTCCTCTCTAGCAGTGTGGGGCAAATTGCCCAAGAACAGCTGGTTGCTGTCGTTGTGTGAATTTTGGGATTTCCTGCGATCTTCTAAAGTAAAAGCAACATTTGAATGGACAATATAACTGAACAGAACAGGGGATATAGAATCACTTTAACTAAATAAACAATTAATAACACGTCATTTATATGTAGTAATTTTTATAAAAGATTTTTACCGAAGTTAAAGTTGTCGTCGTTGAAACTATTTCGTCCTGGTTGTCCGCCACTTCCTGTTCTTTGAGAGTCTTGTCTGGGTATTCCCTGTTGTTGGCTTCTGCGTGGTCCTCGTTGCGCCTGTTGTCCACCCAAAGGATAATTTGTTGCGGTTCCTGTGCCATTGCCGTTATTTCCAACTGAGCCGTTATTTCGCGGTCCTGTCGAATTGGTTGAACCAGACTGGAAATCCCGGCTCTCGTACCGGTTCTGAATAAGAGGCTGTAAAGAAAATTACGGAATGAAAATCAATTTTTATACGAAATAACAGAGAAAAATGCTTACAGGCGAAAGAGACTTTGGAGGCGGGTTGATGTAGTTGCTAGTCGGGGTAACGTTAGATCCTGTGACTCCACCACCCGATTTTAACAGGGTGGCGTAGGTTTTAGGCTCACTTGAAGCAGCTGCAGTAGATTATAATGCCATTATAAATTAGCACAATTGGTGTTTTTTATTTAAGTACATATTTTTAAATATGTACAATTAAATAAATTTTAATTAAACAAAACGTAAGTTCATTTATGTATATCTTTATAGCAATTTGTTATAATGGTGATGAAATAAATAAATAAATAAAAATATTTATATTTTGACGAGAGATAGAAAACAGATCAATGTATATCATCTAATCATACCTGATTCTAAAGGTGGTTCTTGTGATTCTTCAACAGTTACTTCAGACGATTCATTGAAATCGGTGGTACCAAGTTGTTCAGCTGTATTTGTAATAGTTTCTTCTTCAGACAGCTGAGACAACTGTTGTAAAGGTTGTTGGGGCTCATCAACAGGTGCGACTGGCATTGGAGGTGCAGTGGCATTTCCTATCATACCTGTTGCCTGCAGTGCTCCCATCGGAGTCCCAAGACCTTGGGTTTGTCCCGACGATGGAATATGAGGCTGAGGCACTTGCCCTTTAAGAAAAAAAAGAACGTAAATATGTAAGAAACAATAAGTTCGTATTTTCAATAAAAGAAAATGGGATTTTTTTTACCAGAAATAACGGGAAGATCATCGGGGTGTACCACCCCGTTGACGGCGGGAATAGGTGGTTGTGGGGAGATAACTGGTGGCGGCTGGGCGTGGTGTTGGGGCACTGGGGGGATATTAGATTGCAGGGGAGTATTGGGACTGTAATAGGTAGGGATTGGTTGGGGGGAAATTTGGGCTACATCTCCCATTCCCACTTGTCTGTCTTGGTTTAAATCGTCCTCGTTTTCCGAACGATTTTCTGGTTCACATTCGTCGTCTGAAACGATCTCGTCCTAAAAATAAGTAATATAAAAATACAATACATGTACTTAATGCAATAAAATATAAAAGTTACCTGGTAACGGAAAATGTCATTGTGCACATAGTATTTTTTAGGGCTTTGCGCGGCCAAGACGAAGGTCTGAGTGAACCTCCTCATTGGCTGTCCGGCGTTGGAGAGCTCTCCCGTCACCTGGACCACAACTCCATTTCCTAGTGTGGCCTGAGCATCCACCTGCGTGATTTTTGCGTGGCAATCGCGAAAATTAAGCTGTTGGATTTTCTGGTGAATTTGTTTTTGTCCAACCATCGGACTCGTCTCTCGGTTTGGAGGGTCGAGACCGCCATGGACAAATGAGGACTGGTTGTTATAAAATCTAAAAGTAGTAGAATCATAAATATCACTACAAACAATAAAATTTACTGTGCAATATATGCAAACATTGAACACTTCATGATAAAATACACTTATCTATGCATGAATCATAATTACAAAGGCTTTCTTTTAAATATTCTATTGTCAGTTACATCATCATTGAATGTAAATCAATATATGCATATTATCCGGCTAGCTACATATCTTATAATTTAATTCCCAGTATTTTTTTTCATAGAAAATATAAGCAGACAAATCCAGAAGCAATTTAAGTCAATTAGATCCCAATCACTAATATAAAAAATACAAGTAACAAAACAAATTTTATTACGTGTTAAATAAAGGTCAAGATAATTGATGAATTAATTATTTGCATGTACCTATCTGAACAGAACTTTTTATAGATAAGTATTAAGACAATGTGATATCGAAGCACAAATTATTCTCAAAGAATGAATTTCAAATAACAGAAAATTAGCTATACATGTAGTATATTGTAGTAGATCTATGTGAAATTGTAAAAATAAATAAGATAGATGGTTTAATTACCTATGTAAATGTGTCGGTGCCCTATTCAGCAGAGTGTAGTATTGTCTTACAAATTCACGTCCAACGCTTTGGGGTGATGGGGGAGCTTCCATGACCATTCCTGCTTTTGTAAGCACAGAATATCAGAATTTAAGAGCCAATTGCGATATAATACGCAATTAACCGAGTGTACAAAGGCTGGTTGCAATTATGTTGAGATCTGCAAGAAAGAATATAATGCTTTAAAACTCGTGCTTTTTATACACTATGATAAAATTTAAATAGACTAACAAAGAAAATCACATTTGTGAACCGTTAAAATGCTTGGAATTATCTGACAAACGTTCATAACCAAACACAATATATTAAAGTTAAAAGGCGTTTCCATGAATCAAACAACGAGGGGCTGCTTTTTGCAAATATTATCAGCACTCTTCAAAGAGAATTGGAGGAAATTCGGGAACTCAGGTAGTAAAAACAAATGTCGAAATATTAAATCATCCATACACCTACCTGTAATGTTTAGATGTTTTTGTGTTGTTGGGAATCGTAGCAGCTATTGAATGTTTTATGGTGATTAGTGTTCAGAAAACACCGAAAAATGGACACTAACCGCAAAACGACGGGTGTAAACTTCGCGAATTAGTCGTGTTGTTTCAGTTTTTTGCCACAACGTGCTCTGGCGCTTCCTACATACATCATTTCGTACTCTCGTCCTCTACCTCTGGATTCGAGATTATAAAATTAATAACGCGCATGTGTCATTAGCTGCCAACTGCGAACATAGCACCAATTCTAAAAGATTTAAAAAATTGTTTTTTTAATTTGCGTTAATTAACCAATTATGGGGTAAAAATTGCAATATTAACATACAATATGAAACAAATTATCATACTTTAAGTATATTCTAATTTTGAAAGAGTTTGTTTGTGTAGATATGTATGTTTCCGTTTTAAAGTAGAACTCTGTAGAATTATGGTACTTTTTATCCAGTGGCGTATCATCCAGGTACTTTTTTCCAATAGCGTAACTAATAGGAAAACTTCTGTAATACTTTACTCTGTTAAAGAAATAATATAAGGTTCTTTGTAAATACATTTATATATTTCTCATATAAGAAATAACACATTCTTTTATGAATTTTAGTATTCTTCTATTTTTCAGGGTAATACAAAGTAGAATAAAATACATTTTTGTCTAATGTATAACATTTTATTTTATTAATAAAGTTGTACAATTCATTTACAAATTAACTTACATTTGTAAATACTTCTTATGTCATTAAATACAGTAGTAGAGGTAAATTCCCAACAGATTCCTTTTCCATTCTTCCAATATTATAATTACTTATTATTAATTAGGACAATAGGTTTAAAATTATATTTTTGTTTATAATACTGCATTTCACTGCTTTCTCTTGTTTGTTCTTTTGTATTATATCGGAAGAAAAGTAAAAAATACATTTTTATGACCACAATATCAATTATATCACAGTCATACGATTAAATTTAAGATAATTATCATTTAACCAGTTTTAATATAGGTTCAGTCGAGTTTAGTTTTGTCAAATTATCTATAACGAGTGTTGTTTTTGAAATGCATTCATATAGTTTACTAATAATTCTACTTCTTCGTACGTAACTGCGTTATAAAGGGATGCTCTCATGCCACCGACCAATCTAAAACAAACAATCAGTAATTAACATTTCTAATTAAACGAGTCTATGTTTACTTAATAAAATTAATTGGTATTTTACATATTTATTAACACGTGAAACTTCTGGTACGTTTTTCGGTACTTATTTTTTAAATGAGGGGAAAAACAGGTATTGTGTAATAAATGTGCACAAAATAAAAACTATTTGTGTACGTAACAATTAAGGAAAGCAAAATTCAATTACTTTATGATATTAAAAGTAGTAGAAAATACTCTTAAGTTTGATGACCTTTGCAAACAGCATAAGTGGTGGAATACACGCATGTCATGTGGGCGGCCTAACTTTTCTTTTTCGACCCATGCAATACTTTTCTTTTTTTTTTCTTTAATTGGTGTGTAAGTGTTTAATTTCCTTTTTCTATTGTTTTAAATCATTTCTTTTACCTGTGTCCTTTCAATTGGTACATCTCAAGCTTTTCGGCACCTTGTAAAAATAATTTTTCTAACTTTTCGTCCCCGTTGGGTCCTCCAACCCTGAAGGGTATATTTATTCTGCTACGAATTTCCTCGTCCACAGGACTCGAATAGAATTTGTTCGAGTTGTGAATTGTGTTGTACAAAAGTTGACTTTTTGCGATGGCTCTTCTTTCCATCTCTTCAACCCCTCCGTTCTTCTTGACCCACTGTAAAACCTTCTCCATTACATAAACCCTGGATAGCAAAACAAGATTATTAAACAAGTTGTTAGCAATTTAAACTTGATTTTATTATTACGAGAAGGTGGTTGGTGTATTGTGAATAGAATTCATGTCGCTGACGTGGCCATAGTCGAGTATGGTGGGGCAGCATGGAAGGGGGTTTCCCATAAGATCTTCCCTAACAATTACAATGGTTACTCCTGAGGGTCCTAGGTTCTTTTGGGTGCCACCGAATATGATGCCATACTGCAAAAAAAAACAATTTTTAATATCTTTTTGTTGTTAAAGTAATTTAAGAAAATACCTTAGAAATGTCCACCCTTTGGGTCATAAGACTGGAGGACATGTCACATACAATGGGTACGTTACCAGTTTGGCGAATATTTTGGATGGTAATTCCTGTAATAAAAATTATGGTGAATTATGTACCACATAATCTAAAAAATAAGTTTTTACTAACCATCGACAGTTTCGTTATGGCAATAATAAAAGTAGGAGGCTTCTGGGTCCAATTTCCATGTGGAGGGGTGCGGGGCAGTGCCGGGCTTTGTTGATTTGGGGGCCACCAGATTGACTTTACCAAACTTTGCTGCTTCTTTCGACGCTTTCCCAGACCAAATGCCTGAAATTAAAAATCTTTTATAAAATCTATTAAAACAGAGGGATGAAAATTTGTTTACCTGTCACTAGATAATCAGCTTTACCACTTCTGCCCATTAAATTGAGTGCTACTGATGCAAAAGCCCCTGTGCCACCCCCTTGCATCAGTAATATTTTGTAATTGTCTGGCACATATCTGAAATAAAATAAATAAATAATAATTAACATTTTTAANACGTTGTCCTATCATCGCTATCACAAGAAACGCAAGGACAGCACGACAGGCTCATCTATTCAGGGCGATACTTCCTTTAGTGTACAAAGGTACCTACTAATTTATTAAATAAAACATTAAAACCCAACGTGTGTCGTAAAAAATCTAAACCGTGTTTCGTAAATGCCATCTTTGTTTAGAGGGGATGCGAATAGTTACAATAATTGTGTTTTATTGAATTGCCATCGACCAATACTGGATAATCAATTACCCATTTTATTTTACAGAGGAACGATGCAGCGACTGGTTGAAAGACGTCGACAACAGGGTTCAGTATGGAATAACTTTTGGTAAAGTAAGAGGATGTATTAGTTCAGGAGATCCCGTTGTTGTTATTACAGGATGGAAACAGGGTTCTGGATACACCAACACCCTACGTATAGTGTATGTTTCTGAAGTACCCGAAACAATAGTTTTATAATTGCATATTCTTTTACATTTAAGTAGGTAACTAATAAAAGCATTTTTTTAACGTCGTGTTCTTTATGTTTACAGTTACGTGGATTAAACGAGGACTTGTTTTATAGGCAACAAATTCCATGTTTAGAATTAATATCTATAAAAAAGCTATTCGTCGTAATACCATCGCAGCCATGGTTTAAATAAAATAAAAAATATTTATTTAAAAAAAACTGTAAAACTAAGAAATGAAGTATTAACTTGTATATATAAAAGATATTGACAAACGTTTTCATAAATTGCTTATGCTATTAATTATTAATAACTTTATATGTATGGCCTTATTGTATAGCAATGACAATGACCCATGAATATGTATAACTGTAAACGTCAAGCACAAATTATTTTATCGTTGTAACTTGTTCACAAAACTGCGATCTTACAAAGTTTCACGTAATTTCAAATTAATAAAAAATATTTTTTTACATTTCCCTAAATCGGGCACACATTTGTTATTTGTCCATGCTTAAACCGTTTAATGTATGATTGGTACCTAATTTTTGTAAAGAACGGGGACGATAATAAGATGTTTATTTGCTGGGGGTCTTCTAAAATGAGGCGTCAACATGTTTTCTTGTTTTTTACGTTGAAAACAAACAAGTACAATTATTGAAGGGCAACCATCATAAGAATGCGTAAAAAAAGAACGTAGAATATGACGTATGTAATTTTTTAAACTTTTCCATATTAATACTTAAAATAACAAATAGAAAATATTTTTTTTTAATAATCAAAAGAGACAAGCGGGAAACAGAATGAAAAAAAAACTGTTCGTTCTCAGGAATCCTACTGTTTACCTTGTACCTACCGGTTGGGTTTTATTCCACAAAAATAATTTTCTTTTGATTGTACACGCAGTTTTCTAACTAACGAAAAATTGCAAAAAAGTTTCTTAAAGTTTGGGGTTTACGAATAATCCTTAATACGAAAAATTCAAAAAATAAATCGGTCAAACTTACTTCCAAAGGCAACTTAGCAGGTCCGGCTCCAAAATTAAGAACCCTTTTGTTGTAATTGATATTGGAAGACATCTTCTTAACGTTTAATAAAATACAGTGGTATACTTTCGATTACGAGAAGGCACTATTAATTTAAAACACTGCAATCACTTTAATTACTGTTACTTAGCAGGTCTGTTGCTCGTCGAGAACTTGCTCGAACTGTTTGAGGTAATGTCAACGGCCAAATATTATAATTTATAAAGTAGAATGGTTGTTTATGTTTTCGAACACATGTTCTCGTGATATTACATCAGCATTGAAATGATATTCTTGCGTTTGTATGTATACCAGATTGTGTAACAAGTAATAAGAATGATAAGGAGAGAAAAAAACCTTATACTAAATCTCGTATCATGACGACAAACTTCCGTTAAATAACTGAATAAACATATTGCAAGAAGCATTTTATTATTAGGTGCAATATCTATAGAATGTTCTACTTGCCATGCACATATTGAACAATTTCAGAAATCAGTTATTATTAATACATATGTACGTATCTTATTTTTTTTTTGTTTAATAGTATAGGTCATCTTTATAACCGCATATATCTGGTATAGTTTTGAAATTGTGCAAACAAAAAGTTTGGTCAAGTGTTGCATGATTATCGTTAATTACCTTATTATTAATTACTATATAGCGTTGACCCGTGACTTCGAAAGCAATACTATTTCTAATTGTTTATAATAACAGCTTAAATAGATTTGCGTGAAAATTGACGTATCACCCCCCTTATAATGGGGAAAGATTCGAGACATAAATATCAATTTCAATTAGGCAATTTATATTTGGATAATTGTTACACCGATTTTGTCTTTTGAAAACAAGTCAGGTTCAATATGAGTTATCATCTCATCACCGTGTTCACATGTTGATTTAATACACAATTTGATTCCCATCTTTGATAAATGTAATAGTACGTATTTGGTACACATGTTTTTTCTGCATTAAAATGTTACAATAAAGATTAGAGATAAAGTAGCAGCTTGGTAACAGAAGGAGATATTGCACGTCACAAACAACGATGATGAAAAAGGTTCAGTAGTTTAACAAATATTTGTTTGACTTTTTTACTTTTAAGAAATCACGATTAGTTTTGAAAATGTTTCACAAACTTATCGTAAACAATTAGGTACTTTACAAAAGCTTCGAGTAAAACTGACAACCATAATAAAAGAAAGCTCTACAATTACAGGGGGTACTAAAAGAAAACTTGAGGGTGGTTTGTTTGTTAATTTTAACATTTAGCAAATATAGGTACCAAACATTCCCCATAACTGAAATAACACTCTGAACTGGAGCAGATACCTATGTCCCGAATAAAAACATCGCAAACATTTTTAATATATTCCAACAGAAAAAATCATCAATCCTTTGAATTTTGAAACTGTTTCAAAATTGCTTGCTAGTGCTATTCAATCTTCTTGAGAACTTGGAGTCAATTTTACTTTTTGAGTTACCTGATGATGGTTCAACAATATTCGTTTGTTAATATTGCTGGAAACTATTCTAAAATCAGACCAGGCAATTTTAGTTCGTAAATTTATTCACTGAAACTTAGTAACTCTTATCAAATTGATGATTTTCCTTAAAACCTAAATATTTTTACTTATAACATCGGGTATTACCCCAGACGTATGGTAAGCCCATTCAAAATATCTTCGTCGTAATATATAATGTAATACGTAAACACCATATTTACTTCTTTTATTAAGTTGTTATGTGTTTATTTAGTATATCAAATAGAAAAGTATTTTGTAATCTAGATTAGGCTCTGGTAACAAAAGATATTAACGTTTTATAATAAAACGTATTGTTTATTAAACCTCAAAAAGTCCTTTAATATACGAATTGTGATCTGAAATAATATCCCAAGTTAATGATGATTTGTAAAATTTCGCAAAATCAAGTGATGACATTTAAAAACTTTTGCAACGACGAGTTATTTTTACCATCCGTTATCATTTGATAAAAAAGAATTCGATTTGGTTTAACGCCGTGAGTAATAATTTCTTCAATTGTTCATTGTTACGAAAATGAAAAAAAGGAAAACAATTTAAATAGGTACTTAACATTTTTTATGATAATTATGATTCCCATTTTGTCTAGGGTTTGAAAAATCGACAATTCCAATTGCAATTTCGATTATCAAGTAAAACATGTTATCGTCAATATAATTATTAACCTCGAGGGCATGGAATTGAGAAACTAGCAACATACATACGTACATAATAATTTATTGTTAGTAGTCTGTGTGACAAAATAAAATAATTGCATAATATGCATGTGTGTGGCATCAAATGTTTTTTTGTATTTTGCGTTTATTAGGTATAATTAAACCAAAAGTATGACAATAGCATTCAAAGTGGGGAGAAGGTAATTAAATCCGTTAAAACGCATTTAATTCTGAATCGTTGGAATCTGGTGTTCTGATAACGTAATACATATTTATCTATTATAATTGCAATATCAACGTGAATTTACGTCAACATTCAGTAAATAAACAATTAACGAAAACAGGGAAATAATATAGAGCCTTGTTATAAACAAAGTAATTGTTAGGTACTCTAACAATAATAATATCAAGTAAATACTTAATTTTACTAAAATGCAGAAGGCATAGGGCAACAAGTGAATAATCTGAAGACGACTCAATTAATAGATAATATATATATATATAAAATAATTGTTTGATTCTTACA